AACACTCGGGGGGTTGGGAGAATTCTCGACAGTTATGCAAACCCTCGACTACGTCTCGGGTTTGCATAACTGTCTCGAATTCTCCCAACCTCCCCTCGTGTTGCTATCAGGCTATGTAAACACGGAAAAAGTTTTCAATTGCTTAATTATGAAAAGTCCTACAGTAATGTGACAATCATCATTTACCCCACAAACGTGGCAAAACTTATATACTGAAAGGCATATTTGTGTGAAACCTCACTGTTATAAAAGGGAATTTTGAGGATCTTCATTTATATCTTCCCTTTGTATGACCTGTATTTTGACTCTGTTAGTGGTTTATTTTCTCAAGAGTACTATCACATTGTACAGGTGATGATGGTAATCATCCGCTGCCATGTGTTAACCTGTTTTATTTATCGCAATTCTCTCTTTGGGCCATGCAAAGTCCCACTTCTGGACTCTCTTTTTGAAAAAGACACTATGATACAGAATAACTCATTGCTGAAGAGAGACATGCTGTACAGACGCACAAAAAAACACAAGAAAAATGATCTTTTATTGGAAGTGAAGAGCAAAGAATCGTGCCAAATATTGCAAGAAGAAAGTAGTATACAGAATGTGGGTTTCGCGTAGAGCGGATCAGGGCGGATCAGGGCGGATCAGGGCGGATCCCGAATCTGCCCTTCTTATGACGTCACACCATTCGTAGTGACGTTATATGTCGTAGGAACCAATCAGTAGCCATTTCGGTATTCATGGGAACTGCACAGCTATCTCCTAGACCCCTCTCCCGTTTCCAATCAGGTCATTTCAATTTTTTAGATTTATGACGTCATAGGTCGTAAGAACCAATCAGCAACGATTTCGGTATAGAGGACTAGTGAGCAGGGGAATTTTGTCTGCGCATGCGTACGATTTTTGTTTTTCTTCGCGCGCGAGCTTCCTGTGGTAAGCGGGAAACTTTAAATTTGTAAACAAAGATGGCGCATTTTCACTTGCGAAAACTTTAATCATTTCCCTTTTTCTGCTATCTTCTGTTTCTTGTACAAGAAAATTCTCAGAGAAAAAATGCATTGTCTATAAACGTCAATGTGAAGAAAAGATAAATTCTACCAGAAGTGCTCCAGAAAAATCCTCCAGAAGTGTTTTTCCTTACCTGGAAACGAATGATGGCGTCACTAACGGCTATAGATTGTGCCTCGTCACGCGTTTTCAATCAGCTAAAAATGTAGCTTCCCGAATTTTTAGAAAGTTTATTTCAGAACATTTTGGTTCCCCACCAGTGAATAAAAGCTCTATTGACGTGAACTTTATTTTGAAGGGTTCGGCTAAATTTCGAGTAAAAAACATCGAAAGGTTTGTTGTGTAGTAGCTGTGTTTTTTTCACGAAACATTTGTTAACTGTGATTTAGAACTTTGAGAGACAATTTTTCCGATGTTATAGTTATGTTAACTGAATGCTTGAATGCGTAAAGAAAAGTAAAATGAAAGACGTTTTTTTGAGGGTTCTGTAAGATTTTGAGCTACACTGCTTTCAAAACAATTCGTAATTCAGTCGAAAAATCGTGGATTAGAATCTTTCTGATGAATTTTTCCACACATTTGTTTAAACATGTCATAAAAAATTTATTCATTGAAGAACATCAAAGCATCATTTGCAAATGCAATGCAGTTACTAACCTTTCTCCTTCTTTTAAAGTGACCAAACTTCGAGTTTTTCAAGGCTTAGCCAAACTTAGTCTCCMTGACCAGGTAAAATGCATTGATAAGCGTTGGGACATCTAAACATCGTCGTGATTCATAAGACATTTGGTAGGTTAGATGTACTTGATCAGTATGTAATTCAAGAAGTCCTTCAAAAAGGTTTTGATTTCTTTTTTTAGATGTTGTTTGAGCCAAAACCATGTGTTGCTAAGGCTCCAACAAAGCCATCAGTGATATGATCGAGGTTTTAAAGAAAATCTTACAGCAAGAAAAAAGTCGTTTTACACCTTTTATAGGTTAGAACTAATGCCTCAGATTTGATTTCAGCAAAAATCCTCCATTTCCTGCAAGTTTTCTTCGGAAAATATCTGAATAAAATCACTTTTCACTACAAACCCTTCGAAAAGTAAACAAATTGGCGCTTTTGTGCAAGCCCGCATTTATAGTACAAGACAGTATTTTGATAAGATGTTTATTAGGTTTTCATCGGACTAAAATGAGTACATGTTGTACRAAGGCGAGCAAACGTCATCAAAAGTTTGAAACTTTAGCATTTACAAAAAGTCTATCTTTAGAAGTTCGACTTTCCAAACTCCCTCGCTCGGTTAAATGGACGCTCGCAATGCATCATAATTAGCATGTTAAAAATCCAAAGACCATGAATAAATTAGATTAGAATATTACAAATCCCTGCATTAGAATATATTAATTCAATTGCTAAAGATTAAACAAATGAACATTTTCTACTTTCACATCCCCATGATACCTTGCGTCTTTGGGGAGTAACCAGAGGGTAAAAACCCACTTATTTTGCTGAAGGCTGATCAGACAATGTTGACAATACCTTGTTTGGTATCCAAAGATGAAATGAAGAAGTAAAAAACAGAAGAAGATAGAAGCTTGAAGACGTTTAAGGTAAATTTTAAACATTTTTTCGTAAGTCAATAAATTTTCTGTAAGACTAAAACTCGGAATAAACTGATAATCAGTATTGTACAGATAAAAGCAGTTATATATAGCATAAATTCAATTAAGAAACCTTTCAATTTGGGACAGGTTTTTGATTGGTTATCCCCCAAAGACGCAAGGCATTATGGGGATGTGAAAGTAGAGAATAAAAGTAAATTCGGCTGCTTCAAAAGCAAATTCAGTCCCACCAAAAATTAAATATGATTACCATAAAAGCAAATTCAAAGACCACAATAAAAATACAATAAGCCATGAAATAAATGATGAAAATATTGACTGGATCGGCGTCCCGTGCGATTTCAAATTAATTTTGAAATTTAATTAAATTCTCACAAGTAAACAACACAACGCCGGCCAGCAGCGCCAATTTTTAAAAAGTTATTCTTGGTGTCCCTCCATTGCTTTAACAATAAAAGGACAAAAGGCATGGCTGTCATGCTGGGTGACATAACAAAGAAACCAAGTCTTGGTTAAAGTCATCCAAAATGGCGGCGATGACGTCACATGCAACATCCCAAGAATACTTTAGTCTTGAATTCTCTGTCGTGTTAGCCTGGATTTTGTATGGAATTTATTTGGATATTTAAGCATTCCAGTAAAGGTCCGTTGAATTTACGATCACCCAACGTCACAAGCACTCAAATAATAAGTTAACTCTGCAAAATCCTACAGCATCGACATTAGACTATTATCAATTTCCATTATTTACAATCACACGACGTCACATGCACCTAAATATGTGAACTCGGCAAAACCATTACAGAATCGACATTAGAGTGTTATCAATGTACATTATTTACAATCACACGACGTCACATGCACCTAAATATGTGAACTCGGCAAAATCATTACAGAATCGACATTAGAGTGTTATAAATGTACATTATTTACAATAACTTTTCATTCAGATCTTTTTATACACAATTCACCACGTTTAACACCAAATTTCTCATTTTCTAAGTATGTGCACTCTTTTCGAGGTTGTTGTTCTGTGATTGGCCAGTCTGGTTATCTGAGGAGTAGAACCCTTTACCATCACACCTTGCGCATTGCATATCACCAGCTTTTTTCCCTTTTATCTTGTCTTTTATGTACCTATACCAGGGTTTTATAGATCCAGTTGTTCCTTGTGGTCCCAATATTCCTAGCAACGTCACGAAGAAGAACAGAGAAAAGACCAAAGACAGTCCAATAGTACAGAATATAAAAATCCCGAACTGGAAGAAGAAGAGTATTTTGGCTGCAAACATGAAGGCAGCAGCTCCAAGTGTCGTACAAGCGCCTGATATCACTGAGATTCCAACATGTTCAAGCGCGTGCTTGACCTTCTCTTGTCTTGATTGGAATGGGCACGTGACGTAACCTTCGGCCAAGTGCACGACATAATCCACAGCCAGCCCAACAACGAGAGTGAGGTTCAGAGACTCTAGGACTCCTAGCTTCCAGCCAACCATTGGAATGATGCCTATGACTCCCAAAGTGATGCAAGCGATGGATAACATGCATAGGAGAGCGACGATCCAGTTGGTTGTCATGACAATGAGGATTGGTAATGTAAGTGCAAGGCCAAGGCAAACACCTCGAATGGCGTTGATGACAAGAACCTAAAAAACATGTAACATTTTAGCCAACCCTGGAATAATATCTGGACTGATAGCATAAAAACGACTTTCTGTGTTAAGATCAATAAGAGAGTCATAAAGATCGTCATGTCATTAGATTGAAATCACTAAACCCATGAAAAAGATATTACGCTAATACACATTAGTAGACCCTAATTCCATTGTTTCCCTTTGTGTCTATTTGACTGTTACACGTTAACTAGTATATTTTATGTCACGGGTAAAGTGACTTCCCAGCTAAATATTTATTCAGAGTTTTTGTATTTTGTTTTTTCTCTTTCGATTTTCTCTATGAAAACCATTCGCACGGACTTGTCAAAGGCATTGCTTGGGCTGCCTGTACATTGCTTTACTATCCTGCATTGGAAGTGTTCTTGGCTGGTTCTGATGAAGGCGCGGCGAAGATTGAAGCCAATCCTTGGCGTCCCCGACCAAAACAAACAAGGAACGCCTGATTCAGGCTAGTGCTTTCATAAACTATTGAAAGCGACAATCGTTCTCATTCACCCTAAAAATCCCTAAAAATCGAATGAGACTTGGAAAGAGGGCGCCTATCAAAGAAATGTGGGTCCGTATTGAAAATACGAGATGGTGCAGCGTTCTGTCAACTAATGAGCTCAATATTTCTTAGCGTTCAGAAGTAAACGTATCACCTACAAACATCTTCCTACCTCTTGTACTTTGATCCAGTGCCAGGCGTTGAATGTCTCAGGAGTGGCTTGAAAAGCATTACGACAAGAAGGTGGAAATAACTTCATCTGTAAAGAAAGTGAAAGAAGACTAGATCATAAGCATTGCATGGAAATCAGTTTTCGTTTGTTTTACTCCACACACCCAGAAATCAAGCAACTGAATTCCATAAGGGACCGGTGATTATTTAACGTCTGCTTTGGGGTGGGAGGAATTTTGTTGCAACACGTTAAAGTATGATTAAATGACTCACCCCTCCCCCCCTCC